CCACTTTAACAAAAAGGTGTGGGGAACCACCCAACGTGCCTAGCCTCCACTGCTAGCCAGCCACCACTGCACTGTAAAGGATAAGAAAGAAAAAAAGTTAAACAAAAGGAATGGTTAAGTTTATGTAAAACAAAACAAACAAACAAACAAAAAGTTGGTTCTGCTAAAATAGCTCTTTAATAACAATCAGTGACTAAAATGCTGACAAAACTAAACAAAACACACCAAACCAAACTAAATTCTACAAGACAAAAACAGCAGCTGATTGAGTCTGCAAACAGGAGACAGAAATTATTGCACTGTTAAAAAATGTGACAATCATGCTATTTCTTGGATGCTTCCTGTTAATAAAATGTGGCCACTCATAGCTGGTATATTTATCCAGGTTTTCTTCGACCCGCTAAACATTACTTTTGCCAGTGGATGCCGGCAAAAGTATCCACTGATAAAAAGACTCAGACTAAATGGTCTAATACAATGAACCAGGCCTCATTACCTGTGTTCAGACCATGTGGCAGCAAGCAGGCAAACAAAAGAAAAGGCAGCTCTCCTGCAACAGGTGCTTTAAATAGGAGGGTAGGTAAAAGGAGGAGGAGTTGACCTAATTTTGGAGAGGCTGCACAGCTTGCAGCCTCTGCCTTTGAATCATAACTGCTATATTAAGGCTGTGTCTCAATTCAAAGGCTGTGGCTGTGTCTCAATTCAAAGACTGCACTGTTGAACTGTTGTGATTCTGCGCACTTCAAATGCGATCCCAAAACCACCCTGCCCCTGCCCCTTTTTCAAGCGTGCATTTACACATGCTTTCATGGCCTTGGTATCCCAGAATTCTTTGCGTGCCGCACCGAGGTCCACCAAGCTTGGCATGGTGGCGCGACAGAGGGAGGTGTCGACAGAATCAGCTGGCGCAGTGATATTTGCGCTGAAAGCTCGCCGATTCAATCAAGCGCAGGGGGAGCGCAGCTGGTCTAGTGGTATTTTGGTAGACCGACGGCGTAGTGTGCCTACGTCACCAATGTCTCACCGGCAGGTTTCCACAGTATCAGGCACATTTCAGTGCAATAAATTATCAACAACAACCAATATTCTGAGTCAGCACATACATTTAGATCTATAGATACATTCTGATCTATATCCGATCTGATGTGCACATTTGGCACGCGTTTGGACACTCAACTTAACCGAATCAACACAAACCTAAACCACATTAAATTAAATTAAATATCTAGTTAATAGACACACATGACGGAGTGAACCAGATATTTAATGTGTCTCCCTCCTTTTCTTTCTTCCTCTTATTGCTCACGCAGCTTGACCTGGACATGTGTACGTGTCCTCTCCCTGTCCTGCTGCAGCTGCTGCTGCGGCGGCTGAACAGATGATTTATTTTTGTAATCAGATGAGTTATTTATTTTAAGCCTACATACAAATATTATAATATTCAGTTTTGTGAGCCAAATTTATTTTATTTATTCTATGAAAGAAACAGCTAGGCCATGGAGCACAGATGTATCAGATTTTAATGCCATTATTAGAATTTATGTTGTGATCTGCGCACACAACCCACCTGTGTCACGTGAGGTTTAAATATATGCAATTTAATGTGATTGTCTTTATTTGGGAAAACAGGTGTTTGTCTTACCAGTGGGCCCAACCTTACACACACCAAATCCATCTGTGCTTATTTGAGACAGTGTGGAGGACGCCCTCTACAGTGCTTACAGCGACAATTGTTGAGAAGCTGCCTTCTGTCACCATTGTGTGGCATTACTGTCTTCAGACATCTCTTGATCTCTTTGACTACTTCACGAAAATTGTAATACGCCTCGCCGGTGGTGGATTTAAAGGTGAGGAGAGGAGCTGTTATGATTGGCGAAAACAGGTCTCGACTGTGTTAAACTCATTCCATGCCTTCTCTCCTCCCTAACTACAACTTACGCCTTTGAGAGGAGCTAAGTTAGGGAGGGGGGGGGGGGGGTACTTACGCAGGGCTGCGCCACTCATCAAAATACCAAAATGTGCTTGGGCACGCCTTGTTGGCGCGGTGGACCTGACCTACGCCGCGCCTACGCCACGCCGCCGGCGAGGCACGAAAATAGAGCCCCTGATCCTCTCTGCTACCACAATCAAAAACATTAGAAATAAGAAAGCTGACTAAACTACATCGAAGCGGGCCCGGCGGCACAGGTGTGCACTGGGGGTCTGTGCCGCCGGGCGGTACCACCAAGTCAACTGTGTCCACCCTGGACTAAAAGAAAAATTTTCTATGAATTTGATTTGGGGTTTGTTTTTTTCCGTCAGAGTAGTCATCCTCAGTAAATCCTATCTATCTTGACATATCAATCAATCGAACCAATCCAATCGATCAAAGACAACGTGTTAGCCAATTACAGGTAAAGGGGGACAGGCTGCTTACCAAGTCAAAGGTCAAATGTTCATAGACAGACTCAGGGTGGCGGGAGAAGCATCGGTGTTCTGTTAAAAATGGAGATAAAAGGGTTATTTTGTTCGCCAAAAAAGCACAACGACCACTGACAGAAGCAAGCAGGAAGCAGTGCTAGCAGCACACAGCTCCAGTTTTAGGAAGTTAAGTACCATAGCAAACAGTCACACTGGAGTAAACATTCATGCTAGTAGAGGGAGCAACAGCAGCCAGGGAACACCAGGAACAGCAGCGAGACTGTCCTGCCTGGAAACACGACTGATGATGTTGACATGAATAACAATACACTACCACAGCTTTGTGGTAATGTTACAGCTGCGAGGAACAGCAGCAAGCCATTGCCACCCAGTGAACTCGGTACAGAAAAGCCCCAAACACAGCACTACAGTCACTACTGTATTTTGTTTGTTTCATTTTTATATATTTAAATATACTTACTTACTGAGAGAAAATAACATTTCAATACTGTAGAAGTGGCCACTGAGCCGCCGTTAAGCCTGAAGCAGATAAAATACAGGTTTAAATGATGTGCCCCCCTGAAAAAATGTTATGCCCTCCCTCTCATTTGTTTCTGCAGCCGGGTCTGCATCAGAGTATCAGGGCCACTTCAAGTTTTTTTTAAAGACTCAAGGTCCTTACACACTGGGACCATTTTTTTCGTGGGAGTATTTCAGACATCAATATTTTTTTTCAAACCCGTATCCTGTCAATACAAGCATTCACATCAGCTACGTTTTCCTGTCCTGCAATAATGCAGCAATTTTTTATTTTTTTTTCAGATCATGGACGGTTTTTCTAAAGTTTTGCATACTGTGTGTCCACTTCTGACCAATCAGATTGCATGTTGTTGTGACATCTGAGTCACCGGTATATCCAACAAGGCTGACCGGCTAATTGTTTACGTGTTGGCGAACAGAGTGCTTTTTGATAAAAGACACAAACATTACAAAGATAACAACCTGAAAGACAACTTGTGGAGAGTCATAGCACCGGATCTCTCATAAGACGATAGTTTGTGTGCTTGAACAGTTTGCTAAACGTCTTTGTTTTAACTTTCATCTGTGCTAAGTAACTTTAGCTCGTAAGCTAACCTGTTCAGATACAACATACCATATGTATTTTCACTGTCTCAATATGATGCTCATACTCCTTCATACAAAACATGCAATCATTGGATAAATTTTGAGGAAATGATCTTTAAAGTCTTTTCCTTTTTTTGGTTGTCACTTTGTTGTTTGTTGTATATAGTAATCCCTGTATGCTTGTATGTACAGTATGTGTCGTTTTGTGTCTGTGTCTTTTGTTTTGTGTATGTATTGTATGTAGGACGCACACTTAAAAAACAACTGCTGCACTCCATGGCTTTTCTTCAAGCTTTTCATCCGTGTTTCTGCACATATCCTTGAAGTTTATGGATATAGGCCAAAAGAAGTAGTACCACCAAAAACCGCGGGGGCAGTGTTGCTGCTGTCACTACCTAAAACGCATCTCTGGAGAGAAATGAAGAAGACAATGGCAGGGCTTTTTGAGGATCATCATCAATTTCTGTCATCGGCGCGACTAGAGACAAGAATTCTCTGTCATCCAACAGCGAGGCATTCAGTGGCCTGACTGACCTCGGCCTCCTATGACGCTGCCTCCGTTTCCGTTTCATTATCACCAGCTCCTCCACAGTTGCCATGTTTCTTTTTGTTGTTGTCGGAACTTTTGACTTTGGCTTGCCTCCTGGTGGATGTAATGGTTAACATTCATGTCAACGTAAAGGACACTTGGGAGTATGTGGGCAGTGACGGAACCATCGTTTGAAGTGGAGGCATACATTTTCATATGTATGGCAAGCATAAATGAGGCTTAACTATAGACTGTATATCCTATGGACAACTTGGTTCTGCCTCCCGCCAGTATATGGATTTGAAACCAAAAAGCTCTCGGTATTTACGTGTTTTTTCTCCACTTCCTGAAACCAACATAGCACAGTAGCGTTGTACGCACTCTATCACTTGCGCAGTAGCATTGTACGCATTTGGGGTTAGAATTGCTGAGAGTCGCTGTGGTGACGCTCAGCTCAAACAGCTTATCCCCCTGAGTGAGCTATGCAATCTTTGCACCCATAGGCTGTATCAAGTGTCAATCATAGAAAACAGAACTGTACAGAAAAAGAGGACTTGAGCACAAACCAGTCTTACAGTAACTACATGTCAACATTGCAAGCACGGGGGAGAAAAATGTATAATCTGTGTAATAAATTTTTAAAGTTTGTCCACAGCTCCATAGGGATTGCTGGAGGAGGCGGGATTTATGACCCATACTGCAGCCCATCACCAGATGGTGCTGTTCTTGGAGTGACTTCACCCAGCGAGGAGGCAGACAGCGTCCGTTCTATATACAGTCTATGGCCTTAACACACCTCCTGCTCTCTCCGTCCCCAGCTCCTCACTCACACACATACACACACCAGACCCTTTTCTCTCTTTCACTCACCCCACCCCATTGCTTTCTCATCCAACCACATACGTGCCCATGCCGTACACATTAACTGACAGTCAAAAAAAAACAGGACACTTAAACATTTTAATAGGAACATTACTGCAGGGTCACTACAGTATTTAGAAATACTACCCTTTTTCATTTAGCAACACTGACATGTCCGGCTTCAGGTAGACATGAGCTCCTCCAGCCTGTCAAAGCATTATTACTGACATTACACTCACCATGACGGTAACAACAAAGCTACTCTTGAACACAAAAACAGAATAAAATTAACTTTATTCATGAATAATAAGCAGCGTTACTCTAAAACTGACAGATACTACTGAAGGTAAATTATCTTGTGGCCACATAATAACTTTCTCGTGGACATGACTTATTATCTTGTGGCCATGCGTTGTTTAATAGTCTTTTATAAAAAGAGTAAAGAGTTGCATTCAGTTCAGCGTACTAGTCGTTTAGTTGTGAGGACAAATAAATATCACAAAAACTTTTAACTGAAAATTAAGTTAGTCCAACCTAATTAAGCTTGAAGAGAGCAAAACAAATCATGTTGGTTGTAATAAGCTAATTAAGTAGGTTTAACTATTAAAGAATTGTAGGATTCACCCAAAAACTCCTTTATTGGGACAACTTAAAAATGCATGCAGATTGTTGCATTATATGACATATGAAATTGACAAAAAAATGATTCAAGATTGACTTAATGTTGAATTTCTAAATTAAACGTTGGTTTCTGTTATTTCCATTTTATTCAAAGTAGGTGGTTGTCCTATATCCCAGTGCATCAATGTCATTTTAAGATAATGATCAAATATTAATCTCAAGACATTTATGATAAATTCAAACCATACCATGCTCATTATCTTTTAGTAAGACCCAACACCTGTCCACAGGAGGTTTTTGATGACTTATTCACACAAGTTTATGTTTTGTGCTCTAAAATATAGCCACTTATTCCTACAAGAGAATTATTTTAAAGCTCAAAAGGTAATGAGCTGGTTTCTACCGGTTTTCTGTCAAAGCTCTCTAAGGAGATATGGAATATCTGACAAGAAATCTATCTCAGGTGGGATCTGCTACCAACAGTTTCAACTAAATATAGGGAGATATTGCAGGAAACATGAAATCATGGCAGCAAGGTTGAGAAGCCGACCTGTGACTAAAAGTAAATTCATAGAGTGAGAAAATGGATGAGCACAGAAAATGTCTCAGTATGAGAGTCTGACTTCAGATACATTGAACTAAAGGTATATCTTGCTCAGGTACATCAGAACCTTCTCTGTATATCTGGTGTGTTGTCCAGTTATAAAAAAATGTTTTCACTGAAATAAACTTGATCTCTATGTTTAAAGGCTAAATTTCAAGGAAACAGAAAAAACTGTTATAAACGTCAACAACGACAATAATTAGTTGCCATGAGTTCAGCATTTGATAACATTTTTATTGCATAGGCTACCTACTATCTCTCACTCTTGGGCGTCACTAACAGCCACGATAACAGTGATGTGACGCGAGTGTGTGATATTTTTCAATTCAAAGCAAACTGGACATCTGGCCAGCTTGATGTCCCCAGACAATCAGAAAAAGAGGGCATATCACAGTATGCCAAAGAATATTTCTTCCCAAAAGGACAAAATAAAGTAGGGAAATTTGCAGCATTTAGCCATGACATATTAGACTATCAGGAGGAAACTATTTTTGATGAAGCTATTACAGTTGGAGAACTGTACAGCATACTTAGAATGGGAGTGTTGAGATTTTACCTGTGCACAAAGGCCCCAGTACATAAGAATGCACCAAAAGATAAGGATGATGAAGAATATGATGGGGGGAAAATCAAATATGAACAACAATATACAACTGAAGGACATGTTAGAAGAAGATGAGCAGCCTATTCAAACTGTTGATAAAGAGGCAAACCTACACACATCTGAGGTGATGTTTGGCCCCTATCTTGAAGAGCCCATGCCTGGCCAAATGGATGACACTTCAAAATATCTACCTTCCCGGCCTTCATGGGTGCTGACACGACACACAACTAGAATTCTCATGTTTCGCAAATGATTTGTGAGACAGTGCTAAGGATTAAAAAATATAAAAAACATTTGCATATGTTATGGTGTGCCCTGTCCAACTAGTCCAAGAGATTGCCTTACAGACCAAGTATTCTACATTATTTCATGTTTAACACAATGATCAGAGAAAGATTTAAACAATCTTGTACCACAATAAATGTGACAGACGTAACGGTGTAGAGAACAGCATTTAACATTTAATTCCAATATAAATTTATAAAACATTTACCCTGACAGTTGAACGGAGCATTTTCCTATAAAATGTAAACACTTAGAGTACAGGCAATCAGTGCAATATAGGAGGGTCCTTTTCAGCACCAGGACAGGAAATCAGTGCAATAGAAGAAAAATAATAATGTACACACTTTGAACAACGTCCTTTGTAGAGAACGGGCAATTAGTGCAATATAAAGTCCTTTTCAGCACCAGGACAGGAAATCGGTGCAGTAGAAATAAAATAATAATAATAAAGGAAATACTGCACACCATTTTCACTCACAGGAGTAGTTCATTAAGCTACTATAATATTTATCTGATGCCTAATAACCTCCTCCTGTGAGTGAAGACAGTGTGAGGGACCTCCATTTTTTAAGTAGCCAACACACCCTTTAAAACAATTTAAATATCTGGACTGGAGGTAACCTACTTCAGGTATGGTCACACCACACTTTTATTCCACCTATAAGGACAGATTCTGCCAATGTATTTAAAGAGGTAAATGGAGTGCTAGGAAGAATAAAAGTGTGGTGTGACCTTGCCCTTAAAACTGTGATCCGAAAAAGAAAAAAAAAAAAGGGAGATTATGTTCTCTTTGAGATCGGGAGTAGTTTCCCTTCATCCTTAAGCTTATCTACCTTAGCCATCAATTCGGGGTCCTCACTGAGGACCTTTGAACATTCCTGCACAAATACATTCAGCTTCTGCGACCTAGAATAGCCCTGCAGAACGTCAGCATATTTATCCGGTGCGGATATGGCGAGCTCTGGAATGGAGGCGCTGGTTGTAATGGTGTTTTTGTTGACGTCCACAGCATTGTAGCTCTCAGATAGATTTTTGCCCTACTGGAAGTGACCCAGCACCTTCTTGTACCTCTCAACCACCTGCTGAGGATTCATTGCTGAAATGAAAAATACAAAGAGAAAAATCGTTTTATGAAATTTGATATAGCAGACCTACGATTGTAGCTGTAGATCTCTGCTGTCATTTCTGTAGTTTTTCTTGATACAACAGGCGTTTTGACACCAAAATACGTAACACGGTTGTACCCTTTAAGCTAACAAAAGCCTGAAAGATCTTATATTCAAAAATAAGTTGACACCATAAAGCAAAAGTACAAGTTATTAGGAAAGAGCGCAGGTGTGTGTGTGTTGTGGTCACCAAAAAGGTCATGTTTGCAAAGCACAGTTACCTCTGCGTCTTCCTTTTTCCTTACTGGACTTTGCCTTCTTCCTTTTTGGCCGTTTCTGTGTCTTCCCTTTCTTCCTCATCTTCTTCCCTTTCTTCTTTCTCTCCTCCTCTGAGGTTGAAGAGTAGGAGGATGACAAAGAGGAAGATGTGGAGGTTGTGGAAATCTGGGAGTCACTGGATGCATACTCTTCTTCATTTGCCTTGGTACTTTTTTTCTTATCTAAGAAAGCAAAACAATAGATACAAAGACAAATAACGCATTAGACACAATAGAGAGGGGCATCTTAGGGAATACAACAGCACAAACACTGAGCATGTAGCAAGGCCTATATCACATCACAAACTACAAAAAGGAGCAGTGGGGCTGAGAGTGATTTTACTGGTTAACAAGGTTCTTAAAACTAATAACTCTAGGCTACAGTAGAACAGAACTGCAAATAGCCTATTTGAAGTTTGCAAAATTAACTAACCATTGAGTCTGTAGTTCTAAGTGCAACTGGGAGTTTGTTCCACAGTTTGGGGGGTAACAGGGCAAAGAGTCAAGGACGAGTGGATAGTTGTCCTGTCTAATGTAATTGAATACAAGTGGAGTACTTACATTTGGCCACTTCAGCCAGAAGGTCTTCCTTCTCTTTCGTTAACTTCTCAATCACTTTAGCTTGAGAAGCTTCATTATTCTTGGCCTTCTCTAGCTGTGTGCGCATCCTCTTTGCTGCCAGCTCAGCAGTGGGCGACTGGGACACAGGGTTTCCTGAAACAGAGATGACAAATGCTGATTAGTTAACCAAAATTGCTTGTTACTAATGTTGTGTTTGCCAGCTATAACACTGAGTAATGGCATAAGCACAAGTTGAATGTTTCAATTGGACCTAATGTGACATAACCCTTCGCATCAATCAGTACACACCATGTTGAGAGCTTGTAGATTGGCTATTTTCACTGTTTCTTAATACATATTTAATATTTGCGTTTTTTCTTTTTTAAGATTTGTTTGTTTTTTAAATGTATTATTTTCGTCAAATCTGGAAAGATATAGATTGATAAATGTTGGAAAAGAACATGATCACCACATATGTCTGACCCACCAATGGGTCCCGACCCACTGTCTAGGAAACAGTGCTGTAAACCATATTTGCCACTATACTGGTGTGTGGCACAGAGACTCCAATAGAGCATAATAGTGGGCAGGGTTTACTGGTTCCACTAAAATAAGCCCCATTCATTTTCACCATAGGCTTTGACGAAAGTATTTATAACAATTATTTTAAACCTAGAACCAAGCCATCCAGGATTCCAGTCAATCATGACCATGAAACCTTTGGTTCTGTGAAAAGAAATATTTGAATATTTAATTATTTGATATACTTCATTTCATAAATATCCTTTGTTTAGCGTTTCTTTTTTTCTTTTCATGGAATCAAAGGTTTCATGGTCATGATTCACTGGAAAGCTGGATGGCTTGGTTCTAAGTTAAAAATAATTGTTATAAATATTTTTGTAAAAGCCTGTGGTGAAAATGAATGGGGCTCGTTTTAGTGGAACCAGCAAACCCCGCCCACTATTATGCTATATGAAGGCTAAAATAATTCATTCCAAATAGGTCTGGGGAGCTTTGAAGCCTTTTTCAATGAACTCATTGTGGATAAGGCACATTTGTCCCAAATACACATTTGTTGGTCCCTGGGCTAAACATGGGTCGGTTTCAATCAGTATAAGCCAGTGGTTCTTAAACGTTTTCCTATCAACACCTCCAAACTCACACATATTAGCCTGCAGAGCCATATTTGAAAAGATATGTCCCTTTTTGAGAGGCTAAAGTTATTGTTGATTAATTTAGAGTGTAAAAATAATGGACACTACCGGGTCCATTTGGTTCCTTTTGTATACTCTCAGAGTTACACACCCACAAGGGTCCCATTTAGTTCAAAATTATCATCTAGCGGGGGACCTCTTGAAAATTCGGCCTAATTCTAATTCGGCCCCTGCAAGCCCTGGACGATGTAGTGCCGTTGGTTTTGAACCCTGCTCCACTAACCTGAGCGATAGCAAGGCTAACGCTTCAAGATTCAAGATGTTTATTCTCACAAGATTTATGTACAAGTACATTGCACTGTGAAAAGCTGAGGTTGGGGTGCTCCATAGAATAAAAACAATAAATAACAGTGCAACTAGCTAACTAGCTACATTGATGTTTGTGATCAGTTCATCATCGTATTTTGCAGGACAAAACAAGTAAACAAATACACGTTCCAAGCAACATATATGGCTTTTGTACAGGAGCTTACCTGTGCTGTTGCCTTCTTCCTCATCCTCAATAACATCTATCGGCCTTGGACGTTTATTTCGTGCTCGACGAGTAGCGGTGTTCATTCTTGCTAACTATTGAATATTGAGAAAGCCCGCCGCCTCAGCTCAGCTGCTCAGATGAGAACTGAAAGTGAGGTTTGCTGCAGAGATTTTTCGTTTGTGAGCTTGTTTCTGCCAAAATGCCTGGTTTGTCCAGTAAATTAAGAGAATTGACAGAAGGGAGGAAAACAACAAAAAACACACACAAACTGATTAAATGGCGACAAAAGAAAAAAATACTGAAAAGGAAGGTTAAATGCAGTTCATGCAGGCACAATATGAAGCTGATGCTGCGGAGGGCTTGTTTGGACAGATTTGAATGGTATGTATTTTATTTTTATTTTTTAATATAGATTGTATGTTTAATAAAAAAGGCTAAAAAATATAATGTACATAAATACTGTTATAAGGATGACTGTGTTCGTTTGTGTGTGTGTGTGTGTCTGTGAGTGTGTGTGTGTGTGTGTGTGTGTGTATGTGTAAGTAGTGTATATCAAGTCGAGTGGGCACTACAGACATGTGTTGGATGACTGGGCACCTGGACAACTGGGCTCTAGGGACATGTGGGCACCTAGACAACTGGGCATTAATACTTTACCTTTTTTGAACTACTTCCATTTAACTACTTCCTACTTCCACGTAATTGTTATTTTTTGGTACTTCTCTTTTGGCAAATACACTCTTCTATTGAATTTTGAAACTCTGATGTTATATACTTTTGACCTCAGAACTATTTTGGCAAATAAACTCTTTTGACCTTGCTATTGTGTCATGTTGGGGGTTTAAAGAACAGTGCGTCAAACAGCATGCTATAAATGAAGGTGCCTACTCGTCCAGGTGCCCACATGTCCCTAGTAGTGCTCGGTTGTCCAGGTGCCCACCTGTCCATTGTTCCCCATTGTCCAGATGCCCACATTTCTCTAGTGCCCAGATGGTTTGGTGCATAGATACTATATCTCTGGTGCCCAGTTGGTTTTGTTTAATGCCCATCTGACCTGTTACCACATTAGGTAGGAATATACACTCACCGGCCACTTTATTAGGTACACCTGTCCAACTGCTCGTTAACACTTAATTTCTAATCAGCCAATCACATGGCGGCAACTTAGTGCATTTAGGCATGTAGACATGGTCAAGACAATCTCCTGCAGTTCAAACCGAGCATCAGTATGGGGAAGAAAGGTGATTTGAGTGACTTTGAACGTGGCATGGTTGTTGGTGCCAGAAGGGCTGGTCTGAGTATTTCAGAAACTGCTGATCTACTGGGATTTTCACGCACAACCATCTCTAGGGATTACAGAGAATGGTCCGAAAAAGAAAAAATATCCAGTGAGCGGCAGTTCTGTGGGCGGAAATGCCTTGTTGATGCCAGAGGTCAGAGGAGAATGGCCAGACTGGTTCGAGCTGATAGAAAGGCAACAGTGACTCAAATAACCACCCGTTACAACCAAGGTAGGCAGAAGAGCATCTCTGAACGCACAGTACGTCGAACTTTGAGGCAGATGGGCTACAGCAGCAGAAGACCACGCCGGGTGCCACTCCTTTCAGCTAAGAACAGGAAACTGAGGCTACAATTTGCACAAGCTCATTGAAATTGGACAATAGAAGATTGGAAAAACGTTGCCTGGTCTGATGAGTCTCGATTTCTGCTGCGACATTCGGATGGTAGGGTCAGAATTTGGCGTCAACAACATGAAAGCATGGATCCATCCTGCCTTGTATCAACGGTTCAGGCTGGTGGTGGTGGTGTCATGGTGTGGGGAATATTTTCTTGGCACTCTTTGGGCCCCTTGGTACCAATTGAGCATCGTTGCAACGCCACAGCCTACCTGAGTATTGTTGCTGACCATGTCCATCCCTTTATGGCCACAATGTACCCAACTTCTGATGGCTACTTTCAGCAGGATAATGCGCCATGTCATAAAGCTGGAATCATCTCAGACTGGTTTCTTGAACATGACAATGAGTTCACTGTACTCAAATGGCCTCCACAGTCACCAGATGTCAATCCAATAGAGCATCTTTGGGATGTGGTGGAACGGGAGATTCGCATCATGGATGTGCAGCCGACAAATCTGCGGCAACTGTGTGATGCCATCATGTCAATATGGACCAAGCTCTCTGAGGAATGCTTCCAGCACCTTGTTGAATCTATGCCACGAAGAATTGAGGCAGTTCTGAAGGCAAAAGGGGGTCCAACCCGTTACTAGCATGGTGTACCTAATAAAGTGGCCGGTGAGTGTATGTTCATGTTGTGTGCGTGTTGTGTGCATGTGTTTGCGTGCGTGCGTGTGTGTGTTTGTGTTACTAAAGTAGCTGTCGGGTTGCTCAGTAAACAATTAGACAGCATGTTTTTTGTTGTACGTTTAAAAAGAACATCTGAATGATTTAGTATATGTTCCATTTCACATTTTCTTTTAGGATATGTCGACGCAACCACCGAACAGTGAGAAGGTCAATTCGGCACAAGAGCCTGTTTTCCAAAAACAAAATCTCACTGTGCAATTGGAAGAGATTTGTGTACAGGTTAGACAACACATACCTTGTGTGTTTTATGTTTATATCTATGTAGCCAGGTATTGAGAACATCAATGCAAATTAATTAATATAGCTTAAATTGTCAGTGTTGTAGGTCTGCTATAAACTGGAATCATTGTCATCATGATGTATTATGCTTTTCAAGATTCTCCCAAGGACTGAGGTTGCGGCAGATCGACCTCATCAGTGATGACATTGCGGGATCATCAAGAACCCTGTCAAAAATGTCAAAGACCATGAGAGAGGTCTGCAAAAGAGCCATGAAAAAGCTGCAGAGAAGGAAAGGACAGCGAATAGGGGAGAGGAGATACTATAGGAGGAGCTATAGATGAGAGTCACTTCAGGCATAAAAGAAAGGTAATAACTTTAGTATAATCCAAATTAAGTTGACAATCAGAACCATATTATCACTCACTGTAGAAAAATAAAAATGGACTATGTTAAATAATGATTATGAAAGTGAATTGTCTGGTGACTTCTGCTCAGGTCATGCTTTTTTTTAACTCGATATCAATGTCTTGTTGTTTTCAAATCTTCAGTATGGAAGGGGCAGAATGGCTGGGGCCTGGAAAAGAAAAAAGTGGGTCTTCGGAATGCTGGGAGTGCGGCGCAGAAGACAAAGCAAAGAGAAACCTGTGCTCCGCTTGGTGGAGAGGCGAAGCAGAGCCACGCTAGTGCCGTTAATTAATCGGTACATCAGGAGAGGGTCAACCATCATTAGTGATGAGTGGCGAGCTTACAATGATCTGCCTCAACTAGGCTACAGGCACTATACAGTAAACCACAGTGTTGCCTATGTGAATCCAGTAACAGGGGCCCACACCCAACATATAGAGAGAGCCTGGAGAACATATAAGGAGAAGATCTGGCGACTTAGAGGAAACTGCTCAGAGGAGCTTCTTGAAGACCACCTTTTGGTCATTGAGTGGGAAGACTGGCTTGCAAGGAAACACCGACATAGCCCCTTAGGTCGTCTACTGCATGACATGCGGGTCAGGCAGGGACATTTCTACCTCATGGTGGAGACTCAAGTAGCTTCTACTGACTAATGACCCAGTCATCAAATTAATGGCTCTGAGCCTTATGGGTGGGTAATTGATTGAAGATTAGTTGTGTGTGTGAACTGCTCCCTCTTATTTATTTTATTTATTTTTTACATTTTAAGGGTTTTCTGTATGTTTTATAAACAAACATATTTTATTTGTTTAAATGATAATGTGAGCTGTTCAGGGTAAATGTTTTATAAATTTATATTGGAATTAAATGTTAAATGCTGTTCTCTACACCGTTACGTCTGTCACATTTATTGTGGTACAAGATTGTTTAAATCTTTCTCTGATCATTGTGTTAAACATGAAATAATGTAGAATACTTGGTCTGTAAGGCAATCTCTTGGACTAGTTGGACAGGGCACACCATAACATATGCAAATGTTTTTTATATTTTTTAATCCTTAGCACTGTCTCACAAATCATTTGCGAAACATGAGAATTCTAGTTGTGTGTCGTGTCAGCACCCATGAAGGCCGGGAAGTTTGTAACAGGTAAGTAGAAAGTCCACATTAACAAATGCTTTATAAAACATTACTAATACATCTATAAATCATTGGTATATGTTATCAAGAGCCCTAATGTAAAGTGAAGACAATTCATTATTTACGAATGTCTGTTAAATGTGAACAAACGTGGTGGCGACATTAACAAATACTTGTAAATAATGAATAGTTTTCACTTTACATTAGGGCTCTTGATGACATCAACTACTGATTTATAGGTATTTAAGGAATGTTTTGTAAAGCATATATTAAACATGAACAAACACTGAGGTTGCCTTAAATGACAGTTATAAATAATGAATAGTCTTCACTTTACATTAGGGCTCTTAATAACATCTACTGATGGTTTATAGATATTTAAGGAATGTTTTGCAAAGCATATATTAAACATGAACAAACATTTAAGTCACCTTAATAGACCTTACTTAAGGGTAACTTATCTACAAATAGAATATAAATAATGTATAATTTTAATTACAAATGATTTATTAATCATTTACAAACATATATAAATGGTTTGTTCATGATTAATTTACTACTTACTAATGCCTTAATAACAACATACAAATGATGTTTAAACAGTTTGTAAATGTAAAGTTATACACTTACAAATGTCAATAAACAGTTTGTTCATGTTTACTAATCATCTACAAACTGCTTATAAATGTTAATAAATGCTTTATAACAGGTCGTCATTGTAAAGTGCTACCGATTTTTCTTTAATTTCGCGAAGCCATTTTTGAAAGTTTTCTCTGCTCGAGTCTCGTTTTTCTGAGTTTTCTGCGTGATTCAAAGTCACCTCTGAACGCAACCCAGCAGGCCCAGGTCATCCTCTGTGCCAGAGTTTTAAGTGAGACCAAAGAAGTACCCAAACGAGCATCCACAGGATCCACAGGCGCTGGCTTTGCTTCGGGCCCGAGTGCTGCAACTCCTGGCTCATCCTTCGGCTGACTTCAGTCGTCTTCTGAGCTGAACCGCTCGAACCGCCAGTAGCCCGGACCTTCGGAACCTGCTCCATCTTCTCCAAGGACCAGTCTCACTTAAGTATGCAAACCTCCAGAGCTCTAAAGAGGGCTGGTGCTGTCTCCTGCGTTCAACTCAGATATCCTCTTATTCTGGTAATCTTAGATTCCTCCAAATCCACATCCGAGTTTATCTCGACGCCAAAGTTAGTGTAGGTTAATATGTTAGCGCATATTCACTCACTATCATTAACTTTAGTGCTCCTAGCCTGACTCAGAATCTTTATTTATTCACCTATTATTATTTTATCCTCATTATCTTATCATCATTTATTGCATGTTTGTTGTACCATCATTTATCCTGTAATAAACAGATCATTATTTTTCTAAGTTCTTGTCTGTTAGTGTTCTTCCAGAAGTGGAGTCCCTGAAATTAGAATTTCGACTTAAGATATGAGACTGATTAATTAAGACTGATTAATTAAGACTGATTAATTAAAACTGACTTGATGTTTGATTTCTGACTCAAACTTTTGTTTTCTTTATTTTCCCACCATTAAGGGTGGGTGGTGCCCCTTTCAACGAGTGCATAAATGTCATAATTTGAGATTATTAATCTTCAGACATTTATTATAAATTCCAATCGCTACAGTATTATTTTGGTGCGGCCTTGTGAGGCTAATTTCAAATCACTACATATATTTTGGTGCCCCATGTGAGGCGTTTCAAACAAAACTTCTGGATACTAACAGACAACCTAAAACTTAGCCTTCCAAATTGATGAGACAAACTTATTTTCAGGCTGTTTTAGACTTAATCACAATCAATGCTATGCTTGCTGAAGTTGCTTGACTAAGTTCTGATGTTTTCATGATCTATGCATAAAACCTTTATGCTCTGTGTTTCACACACTCTTGTACTACATGCCTGTAGTCTGTGTTTGAGCTGGACAGCGTGAAATGTTGTTCTGAGTAGCAGTGAGACTGACTCCTCTGCTCTGTCTAGACTGTCCAATATTTAAGTGCACGATTGTGGCGTCGCCGTACGCTTGTATTTAAGGCCTTTGGCTGAACCCAGTGTTCGCGATGCTCCGAGCTGTGGTTTCAAGCCCCTGAAGTCTCTGTAGTCTGCTACGAGGTTCTAGTAACTATATGGGATTCAGATTTCCTCCTTTCCCCTGACAGATTAGCTACCTGTCACAGGAAACCACTGTAACAGTGGGAGGTTGTTGTTTGATTGAATTCAGACAAAATTTGTGTTCACAAATCGCCGCATTTGTGATTTTAAAGTCTGCAGTTGAATCTGCTGTTGAGGGATTTGTCACTTTGATTCTTGTCTCTATAGTCTGCTACGAAGTTCTAGTAACTATATGGGATTCAGATTTCCTCCTTTCCCCTGACAGATTAACTACCTGTCGCAGGAAACCACTGTAACAGTGGGAGGTTGTTGTTTGAATGAATTCAGACAAAATTTGTGATCACAAATCGCCGCATTTGTGATTTTAAAGTCTGCAGTTGAATCTGCTGTTTAAGAATTTGTCACTTTGATTCTTGTTCCTGTAAATGATTTTATTGAACCAATCTGCCTGAGCAGATGGTGTAAAGTTCTATGTTTGAGGGTGCAGACACAGCTGCTGTGAAATGTTAACCCTTTGTTGTCAGTGGAGAGACTGACCATTTGGCCTGAAGCAGATAAGGCCCTTCGAGGAGGCAGAGCCTAAAGGCCCCTTCCTTCATACTTCCCAACTCCTCACAGCCACAAGAGGCTAGTTGGATGACTGTTTCCTCTTCTCTTCTTCTTCTCCACTTGTGTTGAGCTTGTGCAGTTCTCCCAACTCCATACTGCCCCACATGGTTGCTTTTGGTATTGAGCTAACACTGCTATTATCTGCCTGCAGTATCAGCCAGCTGTACTGCCTCTCTGTAGTCAGTGTGTAACACTCTACAGACATAACTCAAGTTATTGACTTGGTTGATGAAGTTTGATGTGCTTATTCTAAATCACTGATCATTGATTTTGATGTATTGATGAAGTAACTCCTTGAATCAATCACCTGATCTGTTGTTACTTATCACACCAGTGAGCAGTTTTACTGTTCCCTATAATACATGAATGTATTAACCCTACTCATAAGATTAATTAATTAACGAACAAATTAATTAATATTTCAAATTTCTTTTAACATTCCAGATAGATTTGATATTCGAACCTTTGGATTTATTGCAATTTGTGAATTAACTTTAGAGTTAATTCCTTAAATTGACAATTTCATCGATTTTGCCAATTCATCCAACTGCACCAGGCAGTTTATTTAAGCTTTGCTGATCTCTGCAACACGGAGACAAACTGAACCCTTTATTCAATGGTTCTGTATCTGATGTTAAATTTAATTTAACATTATTTCACCTTTTGTTTTCAATTTTCATTGAAATGAATTTAACTTTATGTTATTTTTCTCTCCATTAGAGATCTACTCAGATAGGCTCTTTCTCTTTATCAAGCACTGATAAATTAAGTCGATTAACCCACTTAATTTGATATTTTGCTTCTTCCTTTTATTTTAAGTCAACTCAAACTCATCAACCAACCAGCTGCACCTCTTTACCAAAACCAAACATGCCTAACACAAAAGAGTCCAGCCAGGGAGACCCCCTGAGGGACATACCCACAGTGTTGGCAAACTTGACTAGTCAGCTGATACCTCAGTACATGACTAAGATTCAAAAGGCCAAACCCTCCAATCCGGAGGATGAAATGGCTGACTTACTGGAAACAGCCTTAACCACGACACTTCGTGACAAAGAGCTCACTAGATGCATGTCTGTCATGATGTCTTCTCAGCTTGAGTATAAAGACTACTTGTTGGAATGCGCTTTAGCAAAGATAAAGGCGCAAAAAGACGAAAACAGCGCTCTGAAAAAGACGCTAGAAGAGACTAAGAAGTCTCTAAGTGTTTTAGGAAAACACAGTGTCAGATGTGAAGCGTCAAAGCTTCCCTCACTGATAAGTCATGAAGAAAATCTTGATCTCAAAGACAAGATTGAAAGACTTAATGAAACCCTTTACAAAAAGGAGAAAGAACTTGATGACACGAATAAGCAGCTTGCTAAGACCACAGAGGATCTGATACAGTCAGAATCCCTGCTAGAGCAAGCAACAGAAGATGTAAAAACTTTGAAAGCACTGGTCAAAGTGCGTGCTGAAGCTCTTGAAGCTAAGGAGAAGCAAACTTCTACCTTACAGCACCAGCTCCAGATAGCTCAGAGACAGTTAATTCTTTGTCAAGAACGGCAAGAAAAGACAGACAAAGAACTTGAAGATGCCCAAAGAGAGTTACAATGCTCCCTCCAGTCAGGTCGAGCCCAAAGAGAACGCATGGAGCAAACTTTTCTTGAAGAAATGATAGGTGATCAGCCTCCTGAGAGAGCGCCATCACTTCCTTCCAAACCAACTCTTAAGTATCTCTCTCAGCATCATGACAGGACCCTGCTTGACCCTGAGAGGTCATCCTTAAACCAAGAGTCCTACTCTC